TTTCCCACCACTACAAAGTTTAAAATTCAAAATTGAAATTTAAATGAAATTCGAAATTTAAAATAAATATTTCAGAAAATAATGAGTTATTATTAATTTTAAAATTTTAATGTAGAAAGCAGTGGGACATCGAATGAGTTGTCTGCCACCAACAAATGATTCACTTAAATTTTAATTTATTTTAATTCGATTTTTAGAGTAAATTATATATTTATTTAATTTAAACTGTTTAGCCTTTATTTTGCAATTTAAGATCCCATTGAATCTGTTGAGCAATTACACTGTGTCATTTCAATTCAAGAATCAGAAAAACCATTTATAATGGCAACGACAATTACGTTTTAGGTGGCAATGATAATAAATGACATTTATAACTATTAATATTGTTTGATTTATGTCTTTACATATTCCATTAAATCTGTACATTAAATTTTCATATATGTTATCTTTACCTACTTAAATGTCATTTAAAATGACGTTTCACTTACCCGTAACTATTAGCATGTAGGTCAACAGATTGGACTTCAGCGTAAAACATAAAAGTCCTTTTTTAAAATGACGTTTCGTGCAGTTTTTATAACTTCGAACATATTGTAATTATACCCAATTAACCCCTTTTTTAAAAATGTCATTAATCCTTGCTGTGTTGGTATTGTAAAAGTTTGGACACGGGGTATAACAATTTTTTCATTTAAATTTCAAATATATATGATCCTCCAACCACTACAACACTCACCATCTATTCGAAGTTCACACAATTCACAGTCACAATTCACAATTCATCTCTTTTATGAGCCTGTCTGCTCCCACTTCAATTCCCAAAGCCTAGCCCTCACCTACACCTTAAAACCCAACCGGTTGTCTTTTCCTTTTAATGACATTTATGCCCTTCCTTTCCTTCAATGGCGTAACCTACTTAGTTCCTCTCTCTCATTCCCGAGATATAAGGCATTATGGCCGTTTGGTACGTAGGTTTTTACAGGATTCCGGGAAACTGAATTTTTCCAAATTTTAAATTTTCGGATATTTTCATAAACTGAATGTAAAAATCATATGTTTGAAAATTAAGATTCTTGGACAAATAAAAATTTCTCCTGTACCAAATGCCATATGGTCTTAGGAAAGAGAGAGAAGAAATCAATGTTAATTTTAATCATTTGTGAATTTAAATTTTATATCTAGTATAAAAGCGTAAGTAATGCTCAACTTTTTTTTTTTGGGTCTTTTGATTTTTTGATAAATATAAAAAAAAACTTTAAATATTTTTTAAAATGAGGGTTAACAATTTGCATGTAAAAAAATAGAAGAAATTTAATACAGTTATCTCCCACTAAAAGATGTTAAATTCTTTTCCCACCTATATCAACTTCAAATCTCGAAATTTCAAAAAAAAAAAAAGAGAATATTAATGAACCTGTTTGCCACTAATTAATGCTGAACTCTTTTCTTTGGGTTTTTTGGTTTTTCGATAAATTTAAAAAAAGCATTAAATGATTTTTAAAATGAGGGTTAACAATTTCCATGTAGAAAATAATAGAAATTTAATACAGTTGTCTCTCACTAAAAGATGTTAAATTCTTTTCCCACCTATATCAACTTCAAATTTTGAAATTTCAAAAAAAAAAGTGGGATAGTAATGCTTATGTCTGCCACTAATTAATGCTGAACTCTTTTCTTGGGATCTTTTGGTTTTTTTTATAAATATGCAAAAAAACATTAAATATTTTTTATAATGAGAGTTAACAATTCTCATGTAGAAAATAATAGAAATTTAATACATCTGTCTCTCACTAAAAGATGTTAAACTCTTTCCCCACCTATACAATTTTGAATTTTGAATTCTAAAAAAAGAAGTGGGATATTAATGCACCTGTCTACCACTAATTAATGTTGATTTTCGCACTAACTATTTAGAAATATAAAAACACTATTAATGTTTTAGTTATTAATAATAAAAATGTATTAAATTGAAAAAAGAATACAAACCAAAAGAGCACTAACAGTACTTCTCTGCCTGAATCGCAAAGGACACTTGTAAAAACAGGGAGAGTCGTGTCCGACACGCTCCGACACGACGACACGCTCTGACACGGTGTCGGACACGCGGACAACTTTTTCTGACACGTTGACCATTTCGACACGCGAATTTGACCGTGTCCGACACGGTCAAATGGCATTTTCGTAATTTTTTTTAAATTTTTTTAAATTTTTATTTTTTTAAATTAAAATATATTAATAAAGCTTCCACCTAATCATATCAATCTTATTTTTTTGTCTTTTTCCCCCTTAAGTAGATAAGAGATCATCTCAACATCATTGTTATCAATTCCTATCACGCTCTTGTTATATCTCCTTGTCTCTGATCTCTCTCTAATATGATTTGATCTCTCTATCTGATATTATATCTCTCTCATCCCAGTTCTTATTTTTTTATTAAAGCTTCCATCTTTATAACGTGTTGATGGGTATTATTAATTTAGTTTCATTTTTTTTTGTTAAATTATTAAATATTAAATGAAATATACACTATAAATTAAAAATATTATTTAATATTAAAACGTGTCCCAATGTGTCGAAATCCATAACTTTTTAGGATTGACGTGTCGGAGTGTCGTGTCGTATCGTGTCACGTGTCGCGTGTCGTATCGTGTCACGTGTCGCGTGTTGTATCGGTGCTACATAGATAACAACGCCAAGAATATTATAAGTCAATTTTTTTTTGGTAGGCTATTATAAGTCAAATTAAACTTTTTATTAACGTAGACATTTACTTAGTTTTTATTATACGTCAAATGAAAGCTAGATAAAATCATCGGACATTATAAAGCCAAGAATGATTGCGAAATATGATTTATCATTTACGTAGACATTTAATTTCAATAATTTATTCACATTTAATTTCGCTAGAGAAGTAAAAAGAAAATAAGAAGGATATACAAAGGATACATAATAAAAGTCATACATAAAATAAAAAATAAAAAAATAAAAAATAAAAGGAAAGAATATATAATAATATATCTTTTTCGTTATTATGGAGCCACAATTGTGTGATGCATATTCAAATAAAAGAAAAAGAAAAAGAAAAAAAGGGAAGCTTCAAAATTGAAAAATCAAAATAGGGTAACCTATATCTTCTTCAGTCTTTCACAGCTTACAACAACAAGTTTAGCTCTTCTCTGAAGATCTGGAAACTCCAGATGCGCTTTCAAATAGTATAATAGTTGAAAGTGAACCCACCGTAAGGACGACAATTGTTCACTTGTTTCCTCGCATTGAACATTGAGGACATATGCTTCCAAGCTCGTTTGCTGAACAAATGATCATCAAATCTACTTCCATGACCAACCCGCTCTAACAAAAGATAAATAAAATACTGATCCATCTCAGGTTCAAGATTGATTGCAAGAGATGAATTGGAAGAATCGAAAGAAAAATGAGAGAGAAGTGGGAAAATAAAAAAACCATAACAGATGTAGATATGTAGATCGAAAGTAACAACTATAGTTACAGTAATGTTGATTGACAATCATCATTCTTTTCTAAGTGAACCAGAAAGTTTGTTTTCTAGTTATAGTTATACGAATTCTAGCTATCTGAATAATATCTCTAAGAATGATGATGATCATTACATGTATGGGACTCAATCTAGTTGGAATAATAACATTAATAGTTGCATTGATAGTTATCTTCGTTCTCAAATCTTTATTGATAGTAACATTTTAGATGATAGTGTCAAATATAATGACAGTTACTTTTTTAGTAACATTTGTGGTAAGGGCAAAAATGGTAGTGAAAGCGAGAGTTCTAGTATAAAAAATCGCACAAACGACACAAATGATAGTGATTTCACTAGAAGAGAAAGTTCTAATGATCTCGATGAAAATCAAAAGTACAAGCATTTGTGGATAGAATGTGAAAATTGTTATGGATTAAATTATAAGAAATTGTTTCAATCCAAAATGAATATTTGTGAGCACTGTGATATCATTTGAAAATGAACAGTTTAGATAGAATTGAACTTTCGATTGATCAGGGTACTTGGAATCCTATGTATGAAGACATGGTCTCTCTGGATCCCATTGAATTTCATTCAGAAGAAGAACCTTATAAAGATCGTATTGATTCTTATCAAAGAAAAACAGGATTAGCTGAGGCTGTTCAAACAGGTACAGGTCAACTAAACGGTATTCCTGTAGCAGTGGGGATTATGGATTTTCAATTTATGGGAGGTAGTATGGGATCCGTAGTAGGTGAGAAAATAACCCGTTTGATCGAATATGCTACCAATGAGCTTTTACCTCTTATTCTAGTATGTGCGTCCGGAGGAGCACGTATGCAAGAAGGAAGTTTGAGCTTGATGCAAATGGCTAAAATATCTTCGGCTTTATATGATTATCAAACAAATAAAAACTTATTCTATGTATCGATCCTGACATCTCCTACTACAGGAGGGGTGACAGCTAGTTTTGGCATGTTGGGGGATATCATTATTGCCGAACCAAAACGCTTACATTGCATTTGCGGGTAAAAGAGTAATTGAACAAACGTTAAATAAGGCAGTACCCGAAGGTTCACAAGCAGCAGAATTTTTATTCCAAAAAGGCTTATTTGATTCAATCGTACCGCGTAATACTTTAAAGTGGGTTCTGAGTGAGTTATTTCAGCTCCACGCTTTCTTTCCTTCGATTCAAAATGAAAAATCAAGCATAGACTAAAATTATTTTTTTTTTCAAAAATAAATTATGAGACAAAAAGCAAATTAGAACACACAGGAGAATAGTAAGACGATAATACTCGAAGAGTACTAAGAATAAAAAAAAGGGTGTATTATCATACATATGCTTCTTGCAGAAATAGAAAGCGAAATCCATCCATTTATTTCATTCTACATTCCTTATATTATTGATTATTTGATTCTATTTATACTCTTGATTCTTTTCTTAATCTTTTTTTTTATTATACTTAGTATAATTATTAAATTTTACTAAGTATAAGTATATATGAATTCGATTGATTATAGATTATAGACTATCTTTATAAAAAACAGGAATAATCCAAAAATTAATAGAAAAAAAACAGGTACAAATATTAAATTGAGGTCCCCTTTCTATGATAAACCTACCCTCCATTTTGGTGCCTTTAGTGGGCCTAGTATTTCCGGCAATTGCAATGGCTTCCTTATTTCTTCATGTTCAAAAAAACAAGATTTTTTAGATACGGATAGTGGAGACAAATCTCGTATTTTTTTTTTTTAGATCTGGAAGCAGTTCTATGATTTCCTCCTAAAGGTTTACATCAAAATAATGCTAGTTGATGAAAGTTACTTCGGATCGGATAAGTAAAGTAAAATTCATTATGCTTGGGTTTTTTATTTCCCCTATTCCAATAAAGTAGAACTGGATCAAGTATGAGTTGGCGATCAGAACGTATATGGATAGAACTTATAACGGGGTCTCGAAAAACAAGCAATTTTTGCTGGGCCTTTATCCTTTTTGTAGGTTCATTGGGGTTCTTATTGGTTGGAGCTTCCAGTTATCTTGGTAAGAATTTGTTATTTTTATTTCCGTCTCAGGAAATTCTTTTTTTTCCACAAGGGATCGTGATGTCTTTCTATGGAATTGCGGGTCTCTTTATTAGTTCTTATTTGTGGTGTACAATTTCGTGGAATGTGGGTAGTGGTTATGATCGATTCGATAGAAAAGAGGGAATAGTGTGTATTTTTCGTTGGGGATTTCCTGGAAAAAGTCGTCGTATTTTTCTCCGATTCCTTATCAAAGATATTCAGTCCATCAGACTCGAAGTTAAGGAGGGTATTTCTACTCGCCGTGTCCTTTATATGGAAATCATAGGACAGGGAGCCATTCCCTTGGCTCGTATTGACGAGAATTTGACTCCGCGGGAAGTGGAACAAAAAGCTGCAGAATTAGCTTATTTTTTGCGTGTACCTATTGAAGTATTTTGAAAAAAAAAAAGAACGCTTTTTTAGGGAAAAACATTTTTTCGAAATTTTTGTATTTTAAATTTAAAAAAGGGGCATTCTTTTATTTTGAAATTCAACTTCATTATGATAAGTGTTCTTTTTTTGTGTATTCATGAAAAGGAATAATTCCTTCGAATCTTAGCAATTGATATCTTCTGATGAAAGGTTCTTTTTTTGTTCATTCGAATTGGGAGTGGATTCTTTCGCTTTCTTATTTTATTAGGTTTCTGTTTTCTTTCTAAATTAAAGATTATTATCATAAAGATTATTATCATATAGGGTTTGACGAAACGAATGAGGTGAAGCTGAGTTCATTAAAGATACAAAATGGCAAAAAAGAAAGCATTAATTCCCCTTCTATATATTACATCTATAGTCTTTTTGCCCTGGTGCATCTCTTTCATATTTACGAAAAGTCTGGAATCTTGGATTGTCAACTGGTGTAATACTAGGCAATCCGAAATTTTCTTGAATCTGATTCAAGAAAAGAGTATTCTAAACAAATTCATAGAATTCAAGGAACTGTTCCTATTGGATGAAATGCTAAAGGAATACCCGGAAACACGTCTACAAAACCTCCGTACCGGAATTTACAAAGAAACCATCCAATTGATCAAGAAGCACAACGAAGAACATATTCATACTTTTTTGCACTTCTCGACAAATATTATCTATTTTGTTATTCTAAGTGGTTATTCTATTCTAGGTAATCAAGAACTAATTATTCTGAATTCTTGGGTTCAAGAATTCCTATATAACTTAAGTGACACAATAAAAGCTTTTTCTATTCTTTTATTAACCGATTTATGTATAGGATTCCATTCAACCCACGGTTGGGAACTAATGATTGGTTCTGTCTATCAAGATTTTGGATTTGTTCAGAATGGTCAAATTATATCGGGTCTTGTTTCTACTTTTCCGGTAATTTTAGATACCATTTTTAAATATTGGATTTTCCGTTATTTAAATCGCATATCTCCCTCCCTTGTAGTGATTTATCATTCAATGAATTACTGAAAAAACGATTCACTGGTGTAATTCTAAAGTTTTTTATTTTTTACAAAAGTTCTAAACATTCAAAAATTGACTTATTTTTTTTCTTTCTACCCACTCAAGGGATTCTTCCTATATTCTAGGAAAATTATTCCACTAAATAGCAGAATCGTGGATAGGGAACTATACCAGCCACCTACCGAATCTTATTGTAGAAATTTTCAGGATCAATGGATTGGACCATGCAAACTAGAAATGCATTTTCTTGGATAAAGGAAGAGATTACTCGATCTAGATTTACAAAAAAAGAAAAGAAAAAAAAAGCGACAAATGTGTATCCATTACCACAATAAATTGAAGATTAAGGACTGAAATCTATCTGCTTATTTAAACTCTACATACATATAGATAGGACAATCATCTTTGGCTAAAAGAAACACCAACAAGAAAAAGAAAAAGGAAATGTGGAGATTGAAGATAGCAGACGGTGGAAATGACCCATATCTCTTCTCCACAAACAATTTCGTGGGAAGGCAAACATGGGAGTTCGATCCTGAGGCAGGAAGCCCCGAGGAGCGAGCCCAGGTTGAAGCTGCCCGTCACAATTTCTATAACAATCGCTTCCGTGTCAAGGCCTGTTCTGATATTCTGTGGCGCTTTCAGGTGTCTTTTTTGTTTTTTTCCTTTTTAAGCCAGTTTGGATTCTATTTTCTTTAAGTTATAGGTTACTTATAAGGTATAGCTAAAAAAAAAAAATTAAAATTTGAAAATTTCTTTTTACGTTAGAAGCTACTTATAAGCTAAAGCGTACAATTCAAGAAAAGTTGATAAGAGTTAAAAAAAAAGTTCTCCTAGGAGCTTTTGTCATTTATCTTTTTTTTTTATTATAAATTTTTATTATAAGACCATTTTTTATTATAAGACATTTTCTTAAAATATGTTTGGCTTAACTTTTTCTTATAAATAACTTCTGGTTAAAAAAAAGGATCCAAATAAGCACTAAAAACTGTTTGATAATTACATAAAAAAATTAGCTTAAAACTTACTTAAAAGCACATGTTTCAAGAAAACTCTCTCTATCTCTATAGTTATTTATTTAAAAAAAATACACAATTCAAAAAAAGTTGGTAAGAACATAAAAAAAATTCCTCCTAAGAGATTTTGACTTTTAGCTTTTTTCTTTATTATAAAAAATAAAATTTTTTATTATAAGAGTTTTCCTCAAAACTTGGCCTAATTTCTACTTATAAATAGCCAGTGATTTGTATGGCTAAAATTTTAAGTTTTTCAAAAAAAATCGATCCAATCCTAATCAAATAAAATTGGAATGGATTGGATTAGATCTTTTTAAAAAATCCAAACCGAATGGATGATTAAACGATCAAAGCAGATAAATTGAATCAGATAATTTTTGCTTCAAAACCGATTCAATTTAAACCGCGAACATCTCTAACTATATGTATATCAACCTTATAATTTTAAAAATATTTTTTCTTATAACTTCATGTTTTTAAATTTTATCTAACTTTAAAAGTATCTCTACAATATACGACATATAATACTATCATGCATGTAGTTGTTTTTGTCATGTTAATATGACCTTATATTGTATTGCCTATGGCCTTAGATATAAGTATTCATTTTCCATTTTGCAATATGTTTAGCGGTTAAACTGATAATTCAGTCTGGTCGATGCAGTTTCTGAGAGAAAAGAACTTCCGACAAATAATAGGTAGTACGAAGATGGAGGACGAAGAGATTACGTACCAGAATACAACAGCGGCGTTAAGAAGGGCCACCCATTACCTATCAGCATTGCAAGTTACTGATGGCCATTGGCCTGCTCAAATAGCTGGTCCACTCTTTTTTCTTCCTCCTTTGGTCAGTGTCATATATACTTTATTTCATTGGTAATTATTAATTATGATCCTCTAACGGTATAAGTAAAGTTACTTTATTTAGTAGACCTTTTTTTTTCTCTTTATAACATTAGTATATATATATATATATATATATATTATTAAGATTGATTAGCATATCATCTTAATCTTCAATTTTTATGTATATTAAATATAAATTTTGAATTTTGAATAACAAATACATTAAGGTTTTATATTTGTCCTTTTAAATGATAGTTATTTTAATTAAAATTATTAGTATTTATTTAATATTTAAAATTTAAAAAAAAAATCTCTCACTTTCTCCAACTATGATTCTGTTTTTTTACCATAAAATACAGTAATTTTGATTAAAATGGCACAATTATATATTATTTAAAAATATAAAGTTTAATCTCATACACGGTCATTTAATTAATTTTTAACATTGAATTAGACTTTTCTAAGAATCAATTTGATATTCTGAAAATAGTAAAATTAAAGATCAAATAGGCATAAAAGATTGACATTTGTGATGTATTTAAATCAAATATAATGTTGCACGACAAAAAATTTGTGTCCTACAGACATCATCAAAAACAGTGTCAATTTTTTTTTTCTTTTATTTCAAGTGGAACCCATGTTTTGTGTGTTAGTAGGACACAAATATTTTGTCCTTGTAACATTATATTTGATTTCCCCATTTATTATTAGAAGCTCAAACCGGTAACATTTAAATTTTCTAAAGATCAAAAAAATATTTATTTCAAGGGAAAATAGTTTGTTCTTTTAAAGGATCTAAGTTATATTATTTTACCCTCTTATAAATATGTACTAATATAATATTAAAGTTATATTTTTTTTCTCTCTTCAAAAACTTTCGGCTGATGTGGAAAGTGAAAAAAGTACAATTTTAATATTATAACTATGTATTCCCCGGAGTACATAGTTATAAGTGGATGAAATGACATAACTTAGATCTTTTAAAAGGACAAAATGTTTTCTCTTATTTTAATTTGATTTTTTGGATGCTCCTGAAATTTTGAGAAATTTACTCGTTGTTATTAATAATTTGATATGCACCGGATTTTTTAGGAAGTTCAAGTTCAGATGCCCTAATGAACATAAATTTTGCACTTGCCATAAAATATTGCAGGTATTTTGCATGTACATTACAGGCCATCTTGATTCAGTATTCCCAGAAGAGCACCGCAGAGAGATGCTTCGTCATATTTATTGCCACCAGGTATACTTGTTCAATTTCAGACTATACGCGTACATACCCAATTAACCATGATGTAAAATTAGTGAATAATTAGCATTGTTGTATATTAAATTATTAATTGAAGAATGAAGATGGGGGGTGGGGATTACACATAGAAGGACATAGCACCATGTTTTGTACTGCACTCAACTACATATGTATGCGCATTCTTGGAGAAGGGCCTGATGGAGGTCAAGATGATGCGTGTGCTAGAGCTCGCAAGTGGATTCAAGATCATAATGGCGTAACATATATACCGTCGTGGGGAAAAACTTGGCTTTCGGTATGTTTTTCTAATATATTCAATATAATGGTCTACTCATATAGTTTATGATAGTATCTTCATTTCAACTGACAGACATATGAAGGGTAAGGATAATATAAGGGTTTGATGTTTCTGCTTTTGTTGTAGAATTTTTTTTTTATATTTTTTTGTGAATTGGTTTCATTATAAGGAACATAACATAACTATTTATGCAAATATTTTTTTTTATACAAACATATTTTTTCTTCTTTTTATTTTTCATGCGTACATGTTGTTGTACGTCACTTATATGAGTCAATCTTGCAACTGCAGATACTAGGTTTATTCGATTGGTCGGGAGCCAACCCAATGCCTCCAGAGTTTTGGATGCTTCCTTCTTTTCTTCCTATGCATCCAGGTGGATTATGATATAACTAATCCTGTCCGGTTATTATGTATGCAATAACATAATAATTTATACATGAAATTAATATACAACTTACTAAATTGAGCGTTTTTTTATCGAAAATTATAATTGTCCAGCTCTTGTTGCACACCGTTTTTGGACCGGTAACTGGTGAACACGTGTTTTAAGTAAACAGTATGCATATATATAGCATATATAATTATTTTTTTATGCGATTGTTATTTGAATTAATGCAGCTAAAATGTGGTGTTATTGCCGGCTAGTTTACTTGCCCATGTCTTACTTATATGGGAAGAGATTTGTGGGTCCAATCACACCACTTATTCTTCAGTTGAGAGAAGAAATCTTTATTCAACCTTACCATAAAATTAATTGGACAAAAGCACGTCATGCCTGTGCAAAGGTGAGAGAGTAGATCAATCTATATATTATCATCAGTAGATCACCAAACTATATGATCGTGGAAGAATTGTTAATTCATGTCATATATGTACGTATCACAGGAAGATCTTCACTATCCTCATCACTTCATCCAAGATCTATTATGGGATAGTCTATACATTTTCACTGAGCCACTTCTTACGCGTTGGCCATTCAACAATATGGTAAGAGAGAAGGCCCTTCAAATAACAATGAAACATATCCATTACGAAGATGAGACTGGTCGATACATAGACAATGGAAGTGTGGAAAAGGTGGGTATCATATCACCTTTCGCTGTACCATGCATCAACTATATACAATTAAAATAAAATTAAAGACACATATAATTCTAAACATTATAAAATAAACGTTAACATTCTATAAATTTATTTTTCGAGAGAAATTCTCTCATGCACAGATAAAATTCGATGTGGGTTCCACTATGTGTTTTTCTCTCTTCTCTAATTAGTGGGACTCTTATTACATTTTGTGTGTGCACGAGAGGATTTCTCACTCATGTAACATGAAAAAAATAATATCCTTTATTTATTTACTGTCCAGGTTTTGTTTATGCTTGCTTGTTGGGTGGATGATCCAAATGGAGATGCTTTCAAGAAGCATCTTGCAAGGATCCCCGATTACTTATGGCTTTCAGAAGATGGAATGACCATGCAGGTCTGACCTCTTTCTCTCTCTCTGTTTAGCTTTTCCAAAACGTGGAATCAATAGGATATTAAATAATGCACTTTATCGTATTTGATGTAGAGTGTTGGTAGCCAATCATGGGATGCTGGATTGGCAGTTCAAGCTCTGCTTGCCACTAACCTTATTGACGAAATTGGTCCTACACTTTTGAAAGGACATGATTTTCTCAAGAAATCTCAGGTGCATGTGTTTAGTATTCATTCCACTCGAACTAAGAAACATATTGACGTAGAACTAACTACCTACAAATTCACAATAATTTTTAATTTAGCGCTATTTTCTTAATACTAATAATCGATATCCCTAGACCACGAAAGATGGGAGAAAAACATGATTGATCTTATAAACAACATAAGTGAGCCCTAATTCATTTTCCATCACATATTTATAAATGATTGATTTTTTCGTTATCATTACTTGTTGAACAATTATATTTGTGTGCTAGCTCTAGTTAGCAGTAATGAATTAAAGTTCCAATTTCATAGGTTAAGGAAAACCCTTCAGGAGACTTTAAAAGAATGTTTCGTCACATTTCTAAAGGATCATGGACCTTCTCTGATCAAGATAATGGATGGCAGGTTTCTGATTGCACTGCAGAATGTTTGAAGGTAATTAAGCAAATTAATTCTTGAACTTGGTTTCACTCAGTGGTTAAGACTAGACAAATAATCATGTTGTATTTCAGTGCTGTCTACTTTTATCAATGTTGCCATCAGAGATAGTTGGTGAGAAGATGGATGATGAAAAGTTATTTGATTCGGTTAATCTCCTTTTGTCGCTTCAGGCAAGTTTTATTAAATTTACATCCATATGCTTTTAATTAATTAACCAATGGCCCTTTTTTCTTTTCTTTTTTTACAACAAATGGCCCTTCTATTTGCATAATTTTGGTTTCCATCATAATAGCATGGGAAGCAATTAAGTTGTTTGCTTAGAGCACACTAATTTTTTATTTCTATTTTTTGTACGTGATTGACTTTTGAGTCTGAAATCTCCAATTCGATTATTGCAGGGTAAGAAAGGCGGTTTCGCAGGCTGGGAGCCAGCAGGAGCTCAAGAATGGTTGGAAGTATGTGATAAATCCCATATTTCATTTTAATGTATCATATTACGTGAGAAATCCATTAATAGACGAGGAATGATCCGTTTACAAATTTTATTTTACAAACTTTTACAAATTACACTATGTACTTCCGGAAGTACATTACTAACTGAGTGTAATTCCGGAAGTACATAGTGTAGTTTGTAAGAATTTGTAAATAAAAAGTTTGTAAATATAATCATTCCATCAATAGATACATGGTCACAATTTTAATGAAAAGAAATGGAAAAGGCAAAATGATTATTTTAATTTTGACAGTTAATTTATCAACGAATGAATAAGATTATTCACATTAATATTAATAGAATTCATTCTCCTACGAGGCTCCCTCATAGTGTCCACTCATATTTCCCTTGCACGCATCCCTTTATACACAAAGGTTTAAACTTTGAAATAACCGAAGTGGCCGATGACTGGCCAACTCAAGCGCTTTGAAGCTCAATGGGCATGAGAAGAGAAACGACCCAAAATCCAAGCTAGAATTAGAGCTAGATTTGCCAAAAGGAGGATAAAATTATAAAAACATGTAGTGGCAAAGAAGACTTCTCGTAGCGGGCCAAAAAGCTGTTATAATTGCCGAACGCAACTAATCATTACGATGAAGTACGAACCAATCACACAAGACAAACCAAACTGAGAAGCTTCGAAAACAAGTTATTCAATCCGACCAGAGTAATTAAAGGAAAGAATTGTATGCTCCAAATACCAATGTGATGATCCGATGATAGGATCAAACTCCCAACACCTTGGCACTTTGACTTAGTCATTCATCTCAACTAATAAGAATGAAACTTGTTTATTTATTTCAAGAACGGTAACTATCTATTAATTAATTAATCTGCGATGTCAACCATTTCAGCTGCTCAACCCCACAGAATTTTTTGAGGACATTGTAGTTGAGCATGAATATGTTGAATGTACTACATCAGCAATTGAGGCTTTTATTTTGTTTAAGAAACTATATCCGGAGCATAGGAAGAAAGAAATCGAGAATTCCATTATTAATGCAATTCGATTCCTTGAGGATACCCAAACAACTGATGGTTCATGGTATGGTAATTGGGGAGTTTGCTTCATTTATGGCACCTACTTTGCTGTTGCTGGGCTTGCAGCATGTGGCAAGACTTACTCCAATTGCACTGCAATTCGAAAAGCAGTTGAGTTTCTTCTCGCAACACAGGGAGAGGATGGTGGGTGGGGGGAGAGCTATCTATCATGCCCAAAAAAGGTAGATAGATTTATTGAATGATTTATAAATTAACTACCCTTTATGAATATGGCTTGATGAATTGAATGATGCAGATATACGTACCCCTTGAAGGAAATCGTTCAAATGTTGTACAAACTGCATGGGCTCTGATGGCTCTCATTCATTGTGGACAGGTCTACTTTTTATTTCTTGCAAATTGCAATTCACTTTTTGCCTCTGCGACCGACCGATCTAATTCGCTTTCTTAATCATAATTCAAAAAATAAAATTGTTAAATAATTTTTTTTTCCTTTTCTAATTTCTATGCAGTATAAGAGAGACCCAGCTCCTCTTCATCATGCAGCAAAGTTACTCATCAATTCTCAACTGGAAGATGGTGATTGGCCACAACAGGTATCGGTCTACCCTTTGATGTCATTTTATGGCGGAGCGAGATTATTTGTGATGAGTAAAATTACATATACTTTAAAATTTAAATTTAAAATAAAAAATATATATAATTGAATGAAAATACTCATAACATGTGAATCATATTACATAAATCGCAATATAATCCTAAAAATCAACTTTCGAGCCATGACATCCACCTTATGTCATTTTAGTAAGGCTTTTTTCTACGTATGTCTTGATGTAGAATAGCAAACCTTAATCTATACTTACTTTTAATAATATTTTTACATAATCCTAAAAATCAAAAACCCAAAGTCATATGGTATGTTCAAATTTTAATCTTAAATTTATTAAAAGAATACAATTTATTTATATATCCATCTTTATGCATTAAAGAGCTGATCCTTTTTAAGGATAGTTAAATCTTTTAATATACATGTGTTATTCTTAATTTTTTTTTAAAAGTAAATTCAAATTCTTTGAGTTAATTATACATATTCAAATTTTTTATAATTTACTTATTTCTTCTCTTTTGGTCCATATTTTTAAAGTTTTACATGAATTGATTATATATATCTCATTTTTAATTTTAATTTTTTTCTTTTAGATATTTTTTAAATTCATTTTTTTATTTTTATCCAAAATAACAAATATCTGTACAATACATGATATACTTGTTAGTTATTAATTATTTCTTTAATTAATTTATGGCAGGAATCCACAGGCGTATTCTTGAGGAATTGCCTTATCCATTATGTAATGTATCGAAATATTTTTCCAATGTGGGCTCTAGCTGAATATCGCAAACTGATGGAATTGCCTTGAATGGTAGTTTAGTGTATACTATTAGAAATTTTTGTAATTACTAAGGGTTAAAATCAACTGTATTTTTCTTGTTTTAATAAAAAACCAGTTAAGTCATGATATATATGGAAATGTAGTATAAAGCCCAATTAGTTAAGTGACATTGGTATAGACCTTGGTTTATGTATTCTACCCAATGGGAATATAGTAATTATGCTGACCTTTATATGATAACCTATTGTGCTCATTGATTAACTCATCCAAGGTTTTGACCTTGTTTACAACATTGGTTAATGCATTTTACTTAAAGGAGAATGTACTATTATGTTGGTCTCAGTATGATATCTTGCTTTAATTGAAGTTGTATATTGCCCTATGGTTTCTTCATATGCATTCCTATTTTATCATTCTATTTATTTATTTTTTAAATCAATTTGTAAGTGTGTTTAGCTAATTTCATGTTCCGTGTTCTTAAAATACTTATTTTAATTTCTTAACACATATAAATATATATGTTCTTGTCAAATTCTAATTAATGAAAAAATTATTATAAATTATGGTGATTATAATGTTAGTACTTACTCCCTAATTTAGTTTAGATTTTAGGTACTCAATCAATTAAGTTTGATTAGTTAGCAAAGGTACATAGTTGTTGATATTGAGGATTGAAATTTGTGGGACAAATTGTAGTTTAGTAAATACAATAAGAATTAGATTACCAAAAAAAAAAATCCAATAAGAATTTTGAAAACACGTTATAAGGCTTTTCATATTATTTGGGCATGATTATTCGGAACATTATTTGTGAATTGTCAGAGTTCTTTATTGATAAAAATTATTGTTTGCGATTACCTGCCCAGTGGGGGTTCTTGTAACAATAATTTTTGAAATTTACATTGAGATAAAATTTTAAATAATATGAAATAATTGTATATTAGTTACTCTACCAAAAGGAGAGTTTATAATAGGCTTTTTGACCCTTTTGCCCCTCATTAATTAATTAATAACCAATTTGCCCCTCCCCAGAACTATCCATCATCCTGCCCCCTTTAGTCGATTAAGGTGAAGATTTAGTCGACTAAATTGTAAAAATACAGGAAATATGAAGCCCAAAATTTAATCGACTACAAAACCATCTTGATCGATTAAATTTCGAGGAGATTTAATCGACTAAAAATGTTATTTTGTCGATTAAATTTCGCTGGACCAGTTTTTTAAACCCCCCCATTTCGCGAAGGGGGTTATTTTCAAACCCTAGTCGATTACAAACCCCCAAAATACCACATCTTCAAGAACCGAACGAAACCCCTCCCCTTGGTCGTCCTATTGCACCATCAGAACTATCCACCTTTGTGTTTTATACTGGTCTAATCGACTACATTTTTTAGTCGATTAAACCAGTACAGGTTGATCGATTAAATCATTTCTTTTGGCATCCCATTCTGTTTTCCACGGATTTTTTTGGTTTGTTAGTGATTCTACACTCATGACCGACGTTAGTGTGACTTGGGGAAAACAATCTGTGATACAAAAAACAACGTGGATGTTATATTCCCTAAATGTAAATATATTGTTTGGAAACGTTGGTTTAGGCTTCCCCAAACATGGTTAATTCATTTTACACACATATTAGTCATTGTTCTCTGTTGCTATGGACAATTGTGACATGTTGTGCTATGGTTTGAACCAAATTGATCAAGTTAGTGGAAAAGTACCATTCATGGCATTTGTTGAACATTCCATGTCATCGGTTAAAAATTTGGATTGAAAGCAACATAAAGCATATGATTTAGTAACATAAAGTTTACAATACACAGTCACATAAAAGAAATACATGAACTAAACCATAAACACATTCATCGCCTCCCATGGTGCCTCCTAACATCAAGATCATAGCTGAATGCACAACATTGGTTCAACTCTGTCTAATCCTCATAGGACATGTACGTTTATTGTGACCAATTTGTTTGCAGGTGCTACATCTACTCTGACTCCTTGTGCACGTACCAAAGATGAATTTGGGATAATAGTTGGACCATCTATTTGTGGAATCAACAACTCATTACCCATTGGATACCAATGTGCAGCATAGACCTTGTCAATTTGTAAAATTGAAAACACAGGATCGACATAGTCATAGTGGTTCAATTTTTCTACCTTGCACATCGTGTAATACATACTCATAATGGCTGCACAGATAACATCAGAATCCAGCTGTCTATGGTCCCGGGTAAGACCTTGGTTTAGACATGTGTGTTCTTTACCCCACTTACTAACCACCAAAGTATTTCCATTCTTCGGCAACAATGCCCGCACGTACCAGGGACAACCATCAATATGGTATCGACACTTCATCACAAATCTATGCTCATCACTTTTTGCCACTACAGCAGTACGGTGAGCCTTCATACACTATAATTTGACTGCATGTTGCATTTCATATTTACTACAAAACTCCTGGTACAAATATAATGGATCCCCTAATTGCCAGCCACCGTGGAAGTCATCATCGTCATACAATATCTCTATCTCATCATTAGGGTGAGCCCAATTAATGAAGTAATAATGTGGGCTTTCGTTTCAAAATGGCTCAATCTCAGAACCTACGTCAAAATTTAAACTTTTTCGTTAGTACCAATGATAACACAAATATGAAATGTTCATTTAAAACTTTATTTTACTATCTTACCACTGCTAACAGGGTCAACACGAAGTGGTGGCATAACCTCAGAACTCAAGTTTCCTGAGTTTGTGTCAGCGTCAAAATTCCCCTCTACGTCTGTATCTGAGGTGTCACCTAGCGGAATAACACTCTTAGGCTCATCGACGTCATCACTATCCATATCCTTCTCGTGCTCATCCTCGTCTATTTCCCTCAGTGTTATCTCACTTTAGAGGTGCAAATAAACTGACGACTCTGACTTCTTTCATGCATAGGTGCAGATGAAGATTGACCGCAATCTATTTCAACATATATCTCAATAAAATTTTGAAATTTTCGGTCAACAATTTCATCTATGACACATTCCACATCTTCATCGTCACATATATCGTTACCAATATAGAATAAAGTATCCTTACCAACTGTAGACTCTACCCTGACGATCATCCGCTGAACGCATTGGCTGCCTTGTAGCCCCAATTTTTGGTGAATTCTCCCCTTCAGCTCATTGTATGTAGTGCCCCGTTTGATTTTCAACATTTTCGTTTTTCCTTCAAATTGAACAACATTGGGGCCTTCATAATGCTTTCCATCATAGTAGATCATTGTATCATAGATGTTTGGACTTGAGCTCATCTTTCACACGAATTAGGGAGTAGGATTCGGATTTTGGGGATTTGGGTTCGGATTTAAGTGGAATGACAATGATTTCACAATATTAAGTCTTTAGAGATGGTGGGATGAAGTGTAATCGTGATTGGAAGGATCACAGATGACAAACAAGAGATAGAGTGAGTTACAAAACGAAAATAATTGAAATGAGACCGAGAAAGGGCTGCATATAGGGTTTTCAGCGAAATTTAATCGACTAAATAACATTTTTAATCGATTAAATCTCACCGAAATTTAATCGATCAAGATGGTTTTATAGTCGATTAACTTTTGGGCTTCATATTTCCTGTATTTTTACAATTTAGTCGACTAAATCTTCACCTTAATCGACTAAAGGGGGCAGGATGGTGGATAGTTTCTAGGGGAGGGGCAAATTGGTTATTAATTAATTAATGAGGGGCAAAAGGGTCAAAAAGTCGTTTATAATATGTTAATTATTTCATTAAAATTATTTTATTACCCATAATTAATATAATTGCATTTAATGTAATGAATATACTTTTGATATAAATGATAACAATACCATAATAAAATTGTTGATTGGATTGAATTATAATGAATGGATATGAGATTTAGATTTTTCCTTATGAATTTCGATCTTAATAGGGCATAGTGCCGTTAAATAGTTAATGTAGAGAATATACTCATAATTTTTTTAAGAGAGAGAGAATAATTGATTTTGTGTGATCTTTAAGAGGAAGAGAATATATATTGTGAAGTCAATGAGAGATATTTGCTTAGTTTTTTGAGATCAAGATATGAGTTTATTTTTAATGTGCTTTCTTTAAGGCCTCTTTAAGAAAGATTTTGTATTTTATATCACTTTTGGAAAAACTTAGATTTTATTTATTTTTATTTTAGTGATGGAAAAATAATATCAAATTATTAGGTTATTAATTGGTTATGAATTTTATTTATTTTGTGGATGACTCAGTTATTGAGCATATTGACTGACTTTCTAACTAAAGGACTTAGGCCCAGGGTTTTTTCTTTAAATGAATGTGAAGAACATTGGCATTATGAGTTGCTTTGATGTACTTGGGAGTTTGAATTCAAAAATTTTCTTTATTTAGGACACTAATGTACTTTTCATTGTGAGCAATTGATAATGCATTGGTTTTTGCTATTATATGTTTGAGTATATATGTTTTTACATATCAATTGCAAAATTTTGGAACTTACTGTCATTAGGACCATCATGTTTGTGGTTGTCACTATATTGGAGTTTGGGACATAATGATGCCATGAAACTTGGTGTTGATTGGATTACTCGGCCCGTGGTTGACACTATATTTGATTGTATGGTGATTTTTTGATAAACTATGAAATTTCTTTGGTTTTAAGGCATTTGAAATAAATTTGAGGATTGACAAAGAAAATAGCAGTTTGGCTATTGTTGGATCACATTGAAATGCTATTTTTTTGTTGCACTCAACACTAATGACTAGTCGGTGAAGTCAAATAACATTTGTGACCATGGAAGGTCTTATATCAATGAATGATGTAATCACCGCATGATTCGTTGTTATTTGGCTTTAGTTGGATTTAGTGATATTCAGATATCGTACCTTAGATAATGTGTTTTCTTAAAATTTGGTCTCGTTATAAAAATTAGTCCTTACCTCGTCGTTTTCAAATATCTTTTTTTCTTAATTCAAATTTTACAATTGATTTTACCAAAGTGGGAGAATGTTTGAATTTTTTAAATTATTGTGAGCTTCAATCAATTGAAGTTTTTTACTTTTAATAAAATGCGCGAAGTAGTGATTTATATCCGTGTGCAATATAAAGCTCATTTAATTAAGTGATCTGTTGGTTTGGGCTTAGATATCAATAATATTGATTAGTGTTGGCTCAACCCATAGGCCCATGATGGGAAGGGAACTATGGTTAATAGGCACTAAAAAAATGTGTCATTTGTCGAGGTTATTTTCTGGAGGTTAATAAAACCCCCAATAATTATGTACATTGTGGCATTTTCGAGGAACAC